CCCGCGCCGCCGCCGCTCGCCCCCATACGCCACGCCGCCGCCGAGGTTCGTCGCCGCCTCGACTTCCATGCCAACTTTTTTTTAATTAGATCGGTTTTCGTCGTTTTTTTTAGTTTCGGTTTTTTAAATAGATCGGTTTTTTCGGTTTATTTAAATAATGAGCGTTCGTCCGTTCATTCGTTCTAGCGAGCGTTCGTCGTTTTTCTTTTTCTCGGATTAAATCCGCGATTTTTCTGATCACGAATCCTGATCCGATTTTCGTTTTAGTATAACTTTTCGCTCGTTTATCGGAATCAGGCGATTTAAGCGCCTAGAGATTCGTTTCGAAACCCTCTATCCGTTTAATCAACTTAAACAAGATTTTGCTACTGTAAAATTTTCCCTAGATCCAGATTACTAGAACGAAGTTGTTTTCTTTCACCGTTTGACTTTCGTTGTTTCGTTCGTTTTGATTCTTTTTGCCAACCAGAGTTCTTAAGTTAAACCTTCTGGCTAGATCTCTTATTTGAGTTTTACATGTGCATTGATGAGTACTTATTGTATGCTTGTTTGTTTGTCTGCGATAGAATACCCGGAGTGCGCCGCTTGTTACTTCGAATCGTTAGGTTTCGTGGATCATCAGCAAGGCAAGTAACACTTTGATCATACCTTTCTACTACCCAGTTTTATTGCATTAGATCAATCCTCACACATTGCATGATTAGCATCTAATTAAATTATGGGAGGGGAAGTAGATGAGGTAGTACCTATTACCTGTTACTATCAAATCTTTGGGAGTTACTTCTACGTTTGCTTATTATGTCATGCTATGCTAGTAGACGTGGATTGGGTGAGTGATATCCATGACAGATGTGAGATTGTTAATTAATGGTTTATCTAAGGTGGCAACTTAAACACACATCTGGGTGGATTGAGACACCTGGGTATTCCAGGACTTGCCTGTTTTCTTTTGGACCGCCACCCAGTCTCAAAGGGATCATGAGACTATTCATGCTAGAAACTTCCGTGTGCAGCCACAAGCTATTATGGGCTCTAGCATAGTTGACTAAGTTGTGCGAACTCTTACAGTGGTAGACTAGCAGATGTAGGGGATGTAGGTGATACGGTCTACCCGATCGTAAGGTGCTAGCGCTTCTGAAAGACTATGTCTCGGTCATCCGTCTTCTTAAACACCATGTAGTGCGAGAAACCAAACGGAGGCGATCGAGTCTTGTGGGGAAAAGTGCGCAAACCTCTGCAGAGTGTAATAAACTAATCATGATTAGCCGTGTCCCCGGTTATGGACATCTTGAGTATCTAGTACTTGGATTATCATGTGAATCTCAACATGTTACTCTAAATTAATTTTGTTGGGTTATGTTTAATGATGATGCTTAATTGGGATTGAGAATGCTGTCAACCATTCTCAATGCTTAACAACCACCATGATAGTAATTAAATTTATTCCTTTGAAGTAGGGAAAAATTGGCTTTACGCAAAACTGTAACCATGGAGCTTTCCACCAGCTAAATATGCATATAGTATAGCTGTTTCATACCATTACTCTCTATGTGTTACATTGCCAGCATATTCCATGTGCTGACCCGTTTCAAGCTGCAACGTTAATGTTGCAGACTTTTCAGACGACGATTAAGGAGTTTTTAGGTCGTGGTTCTATACTCAGTGATGCCGTTGAAGTTGATGGACTCACTTATCTTTCAAGTCTTCCGCTGTTATTGTTATTAGATGGCCTTAAGCTATATTTATTATAATAAGTTCTCTTTTGAGACACTCGATGTAATAAGTGTGTGATTGCTACTCTGCTATAAATCCTCCGAGTACTGTGTGGTGTCAGTATTACTGATCCAGGGATGACACCGGAGCACAGAGATCAGACTGTTTGAGGTCTGGTCGCTACACTTCATGTACTAATGCAAGGAATGGCGTTGGCGGTGCAGCATAGTAATGAGCCTATTGTTGTTCAATTAGATTCTTCGGAAGCATTGTCGGCTTTGTCGGGCGAGCCCTATCTCGATCAGCTTATGAGCATTTGATAACTGAAATTAAGCATCTTATGGTGAATGGAGAGTTTATTCCTATGAAAATTAAGTGTGAGCAAAATAAGATCGCAGATCGGTTGGCTTTTTATAGTCGTACGAAGAGTATTGCTGATGTATGGCTACATAGTGGCCCGCCATGTATAGAGAACCTTTTACCTCTTGATTGTAACCTATTACCCTAGAATAAAACTCTTTCTCTCGCAAAAAATTTTTTTTTGTTTTTTTTTATGTCAGTGGATGCGGACATGCAAATGAAAAGTACGCACCCGACTACCATGGCAACCGAGGATCTCACCCTCCCATGAGAAAAAAGGTACAATTGTCTCCAATTGTCTCGAAGAATACGTAACAGGGTAGGTCTTGCCACACATTCATCGTTGAGTCAGCGTAGTTGCCCATAGACTACATTTCACGAAGAAGAAACATTTATAATTATATGTATACCAATTGCATATAGCACTAGCGGCCTGCACTTGCATCATACTCCTTAATTAATTATGTTATGCGAACAATCATACTTCTTACTTAATCACGATACTATACAACTTCTGAATGGACGTGAAGTTGACTTGGCCCGGTTAACTAAGTCAAAACCTAGTAAGGCCGGTAACAATGGACGTGAAAATGAGGATGTACTTTCGGCTTCTGCATCTGGCGACGCATGCAGCTATTTTGTTAATTATTAACAAAGTCCTTACAAAGCTAATACATCAGTAAATCTAAAGTCACCATCTTGACAACACATGTCGCTACTTCTATCCCCGTGAAGGGGTGCCGAATGTCCGAGCCTAATATCAAACAGACATCGCGCCAACACCTAACATCTAATGCCAGGCCTCTTTGCCGTCGACGCCATCACTACGCCAGACAGTGTCGTCCTCCTGCATGAGTCCATTGCCACCCATCGGATGCCAAGACTCCACCGCGCCACACCGCCAAGATCCGCCGCCATCAATGTGTAGGATGAAGCACCACTCCACCACCTACCGACGCTCAACCACCAAGTCGTCCACATGTCCGTCCAGCCGATGAATGTCTCCAAAAATGATGCCCCCATGGGGGTGACGACGAAGACGTCGCCATCATCCGATCCAGGAGGCCCCTCAAGGCCTCCAACGAGGGCTACGACGCCCACGGGCGCCGCCGTCAATGGTAGCCTCCTCCAAATCTGAATTTTTCCCCGGAAACAATGGAGCGAGGGACGCCCCCACCATCGCCTCCAACAAGGGCTATGACACCCGCGGGCGCCGCCGACGATGGTGGCATCCTCACCCGCTTCAGCAGCTAGGTCACCATCTCCTCCTCCACTTGATCCGTTGCCGGGAAGCCACCGCGAGGCAACACCCACCGGCCAAATCTCTTTGGAACGATGATGAAGACAACCAAAGGTAGAGGAGGTATCATCGCTGCGTGACCGGTGCCATGGCCACACACACCTCGTCCTGAGGAGCCCACTCAAGATCCATCGTCACAGCCACGCCTCCAAGCCGCGACGGAGGGACGCCCCGCCGCCGCAATCATCCCCCCGCACGGGCTTTACCTAGTCGGGATCCGACAACGACGGGAGGGAAGACGGACAGGAGGCGGAGGGGATCCGGAGGGAGGTGGACGGGATCTGGAGAAGAGGTGGACGGGAGGCGGAGGGATCTGGACGGAAGGCGGAGGGGGTCTGGACGGGAGGCGGAGGGAAGGAGGACGATAGGAGGGGATCTGGACGGGAGGAGGGGATCCGATGATCTACGTGTGGTCCTATCATTGGCTGACGGGGAAAAGAGATGATCAAGTATCATGACATGATACCGTATTATATTAAATTGGAGATGAACTTCCTCCGTTCCTAAATACAAGTCTTTGTAGAGATTACACTATAGACTACATACGGAGCGGAATAAATGAATCTACACTCTAAATACATCTATATACATCCATATGTTGTTCATAATGAAATCTCTACGAAGATTTATATTTAGGAACGGAGAGAGTATTAGTTTGTGCGTCTTATGTATGCGTTGTGCTGATGTATTATTACTAACTAATGCTGAAATGGAACATAGCAGGCACCAAATAGTTAAAAGCCCCGGCCGGCTGGCAGGCCGAGTCACACTCACCCGCACAGCTCAGCTCACAACACACACGCGAGCAAGTGCGTAGCTATGGCGACGGGAATGCCAGAGTGCTCTCCGGCCATGCTGGTGGCTGCCGGCCTCGCCGTGCTAGCGATCTGCTCGTACCTTGCCACCATCGTTGTCCGCCACGGCGCCGCCGGAGCGCAGCGGTACCCGCCCGTGGTCGGAACGGTGTTCCACCAGGTATATCACCTCCGGCGGCTGCACGACTACTTCACGGACCTGTTCCGCGAGCACGCGACGTTCCGGCTGCTCGCGCCGGGAGGACGGAGGCAGATTTACACGTCCGACACGGCGGTGGTCGAACACATCCTCAGGACCAACTTCGCCAACTACGGCAAGGTATACAAGTAGCTGCTAACTGCTCCCTCCGTCCGAAATAAGTTGACGCTCAAAGGATGATCAAGATAATGATTAGTAGCTCAGGAGTCAGGATACTTGCTGACATATATTCTGAACATACACAATTAAAAGGGCGCGTCTAACTACGACAAGATGGGCGATCTCTTCGGAGACGGCATCTTCGCGGTGGACGGCGACAAGTGGAAGCAGCAGAGGAAGATCGCTAGCTACGACTTCTCGACGAGGGCCCTCCGGGACTTCAGCGGCGGCGTTTTCAACCGGAACGCCGCCAAGCTCGCGCATATCGTCGCCGGCAACGCAGCCGCGAAGCAACCCATGGACTTCCAGGTCAACCTGGCTGGCTCTGATTAAATCCAAGACCATCCTGTGACCTAACCTAACACTGCCGATATGTGTATATATGTTTCTTGGATCAGGCCCTGCTGATGAAAGCGACGATGGACTCCATCTTCACCATCGCCTTCGGCGTGGACCTCGGCACGCTGTCGGGGTCGGACGAGGGGAGCCGCTTCGCCGCGGCGTTCGACGACGCCAGCGAGTTCATCCTGCTACGTTACGTCGATGCGTTCTGGAAGGTGTCGAGGTTCCTTAACGTCGGCGCCGAGGCGGCGCTCAGGCACAGGATCAAGGTCGTCGACGAGTTCGTGTACAAGTGCATCCGGGCCAGGGCGGACGAGATGTCGGACGGCAGCAAGGCACACGGCACTGTATGTAATCTAACGTGCTCTCACCTGCATCAACTTGTTGTAAGACTACTACATCAACTTGTTGTAATCTAACGTGCTCTCACCTGCATCTACGTTGATGCTTGACAGGGGTCGAAGGATGATCTGCTGTCCAGGTTCATACTGGCAACCAACAGCGAAACCGGGAAGGTGGATTACAAGTACCTGAGAGACATCATATTGAACATAGTCATGGCCGGCAAGGACACGACCGCCGGAGCGCTTGCCTGGTTCCTTTACATGATGTGCAAGCACCCGGAGGTCCAGGAGAAGATAAGCAAGGAGGCTGCCGGCGCCGGCGACGCCACGTCGTCCATCGACGACTACTCCCGGAGCCTCACCGAGGAAGCGCTGAACAAGATGCACTACCTGCACGCCGCCCTAACGGAGACGCTGAGGCTGTACCCTTCTCTCCCGTTGGTGAGTCCATCCATCTAATCCATCTACCACGACTTGTTGGGATTCCATGTAGTACGATTGTAACTGCGGATCTGAGTGATGATATCTGTTTTTTTGTGGGTTTTTCAGGATAACAAGGAGTGCTTTTCAGACGACGTTCTGCCCAATGGCTTCAGCGTCGGGAAGGGAGACATCGTGTTCTACGCCCCCTACGCCATGGGCCGGATGGAGCGGCTGTGGGGCGAGGACGCCATTGCCTTCCGGCCCGAAAGATGGCTCGACGAGTGCGGCGAGTTCCTGCCGGAGAGCCCTTTCAAGTTCACAGCTTTCCAGGCTGGTCCAAGGATCTGCTTGGGAAAGGAATTCGCGTATAGGCAGATGAAGATCTTCGCGGCTGTGCTCCTCCGCTTCTTTGTGCTCGAGCTACATGACAAGTACGCCAGCGTCAACTACAGGACCATGATCACGCTCTACATCGACCAGGGTCTCCATCTTACGGCTACGGCCAGATGCATCATATAGCCACGTTTGTACCCAAGAAAGACACGCCTGAACGTCTCAAGTACTGAACCTTAGTCCGAAGTCCGGACATGGAACTGGATCCTCATGAACATATATTCTGTGAAAATAGCTTTTTTTTTACATATTCTGAAACTTTCTTTTTTGCTTAATACATAGTATTCTGAAACTTATGAGCAACTTTTTAGAATTATTCAAACCTTTTGAATATATATTTTTTCTCTGTATACAGGAATATTTTTCGAATATGAGATGAATATTTTATTTCAAGCACATTAACCTTTTTTAGAGTACATAAACCTTTTTTGCAATATATATGTGTATATTAATGTATTCCGTTATTAAACTGATTCCCATCATCTTTTTAAGTTTATTCAATTGAAACATATTTTACAAAATTTATATACAAATAAAAATATGTGTTGGACCATCTAGAGTTGCTTCAACAAATACATGGCGTATACTAATTACTAAGACTAGGGACCTCTTGGTGGTGTATGCCATCGACCCGGCCGTGGTGGAGGACTCCGTCAACATCATGGAGCGATTGCTTGCTGAGGATGGCAAGTACAAAGTGGTCGGCTTCGACCTCTAGTACACCAGTGGTCATCCTGAGAAAGATCAGAAGGTTGCCGTCGTCCAGTTGTATGTGCGCCATCACGTTCTCGTCTATCACTACGGCCTAGCCACAAGGCCATGCGAGCATGTCGGGTGGTAGGTGCGACATATGCCAACGGGTGGCTTATCATTGTGGGAGCCAGTAAGACGTCGCCGGTGCCTGGAAACGGGATGAGGCGAAGACATACACGCTGGCGAATCTTACCCAGCTTCGGGGCTCTCCGTGGAGACAACACCCCTACTGCTGCTCTGCAGGGTCTCCGCATGATCACTAGATGAACAAGTAGCTACACGATGCTCCTTGAGCTGTTCGGCGAGAGGAGGAAGAAGGGCACGGCTCGCTCTCTTCTCCTCCCTATGTGGTGTCTAAGACTAGCAGGGATCAACCCTTTGCATGGGTGTCCCGGGGGGTTTATATAGGCCTACCCCCCGGGGGTACAATGGTAATCCGGCTGGGCGTGGGGCCCAGCCGTCTGTGTCTACAATCGCCGGCTTCTGCGCCGACTGCTGGGGCCCGCCGGCTGGTGGGTCCCGCCGGCTGCTGGCTCCTTGGTCGACAGGCAGGCCCCACTGTCCAGGGCCTTGTCGGGGGCTGGTTACTGTTGCTCAATCTTGGTGACGAGGGCTTCGCCGAGGTGGGCGTGGCTACAGTGCCGCCGTCCGGCGGGTGATCGTTGTAGCCTCACCGTGTCTTGTCTCCTTAATGGGGCGTCTCCTTCGAGGTAGGTGGCAAGCCGGCTGTGGGGAGCCGGCTCTATCTTGGGCCGACTGGGGGAGGCCTGGCCACCTTCGGGTGTCTCTCTGCCCAAAGGGGCCCACCGCCCATGGGCCGCGCTGGCAGCCCGTCGTGGATGACATCAGGGTCAACGTGGCAACAGTGCCGCGCCGGACGGGTCATGGCCACCCGTACGGCGCACTGCGCCAGGCGTGCTCCGGGATTCGGGGGTGGCAGGCTTCACTGTAGCCACGCCCCGTCACATCGCCGTTATGTGGATGCAGACTTCGAGGGTACGATCTTGACCGCTTTATGGGAGCCGGCTTCTTGGAGTCGGCCTTCTCGCGGCCGGCTTCTCGGAGCCGGCCCTCCTGTGGCTTTCTTCATGAGGGCTGAAGTCGGGCCGCCTTCCGATAGCCGGCCTGGGAGACAGCCGGCAAGGGGAAGGCGGCCCCGTGTCTTGGTTTCTTGAGGGCCGGATCGGCTCGTAATTTTTTCAGAAGGGTTAGGGGGAGCCGGCTAGGCTACCCATGGTTATTTACTCCGACAGTAGTCCCCGAAGCTGATCGAGCTTCGAGGCTGACAAAGGGACGAGAAGCTAGGTCAGCTTCCTATCCCGAGGGACCGGCTTTGCTTGTGCGCGCCGTCTTCGGAAAGCTTCGTTTCTCGTAGGTGGGAGCGTGGGTCGCCCTGCGAGCTGACCGCCCGCCATTCCGCGGGCCACATGGCAAGGAAATCCTGCCAACGCACGCGCGCGTCGGGACGCCGCCGCAGGCCCGGGCCCGCCACTCGTAGGCCTCGGCCCGCGCGCGGATCTTCTGTGGCCCTCATGGACCGCTCGCCTTCCCACGACGGTTTTATTCTGCCATCAAGGCACAATAATCGCGGGACGTGGGGGAGTGGGCGCAGTTGATCCCCACGTTCACCCACGCCGCGCCTCCTCGGCTCCGCCGCGCAGGTCTATAAGTAGGAGGAGGAGGGGGAGCGGCAGAGGCTCGCGCGCTCTCCCTCACTCCGCCCCTTCTCGCCCTCCTTCTTCTTCTCTTCGCCGCAGCAACCCTTTGCCGCGCCGTTCCGCCGTCGCTTCGTCTTGCTCCCCGCCGCACTGCTCCCATGGCGATGTCGAGCTCGTGGGATGGCTCCAACGTCCATGAGGACCACGTCGAGTTCCTCCGCTGGACGCGGCGCCTGCCGGGCGAGAACTTCATGCGGGTTCGTCAAGCGCCGGCGAGGGAGATTTCGCCGGCACCGGAGGAGGGCGAGCGGGTGATCTTCCGCTCGCACTACCTACGCGGCTTCGGCCTCCCGGCGAGCGGATTCCTTCGAGCCTTCCTCGAATTCTACCACCTCCAGCCGCATCACCTCACGCCTAACGCGGTGATGCTGCTGTCGGCTTTCGTCACCCTGTGCGAGGGCTTTCTTGGGGTTCTCCCCACTCTCGAGCTCTGGGGGGAATTCTTCCAGAGCAAGCTCGGCACCATCGTCGCGGGCGTGCCCGCCCCCTGCGGAGCCTTCATTGCCATGAGGCGGGCGAGCGAGAACAATCTGTTCCCGTCCATCCCGCTGATCTAGTCGGTGAAGCTCTGGCAGAAGTCCTATTTTTATGTGAAGAACGTCGCCCAGCAAGGCAACTACGTCAACCTGCCGGCTTACGTAGCCGGCCTGCCGGCTGGGAGGCAACCTTCGTGGAGCTACCGGGCCAGGTCGCTGTCTCAGGCCGGGAACGCAGCCGTCTCCCGGCTTCGGGTGATGATCCAGTCGGAGGGCCTGACCGGAGCCGACTTGGTGGCCGCCTTCGTGGAGCGCCGGGTACTTCCGCTCCAAGGCCGGCCTCACATGATTTGCCAGATGAGCGGCCGCTTCGACCCGTGCCGGCTGAGCACTAGGGAGATGCCTCATGCAGAGGTGTCTTATATGGTGAACTACATCTCCAACTGCAAGCTCGCCGAGGATTGGCGATACGGCAAGGAGCCGTATTCCCGCGCCAACCCTCCGCCTGCCATAAGTTTTTTCTTCTTTTCTTCCTTTTTGTAGCCGGCCTCATGATAGCCGGCTCTTGATCAATTGGTTTGCCTTTAGCAGAACCCTCTTCTTCCGCCGACAGCCGGGGCCACGGGGGTAGAGCGCCAACTCCTCCCCGATCGCACGGTGGACGACACCGACGATCCGGACCTGGGAGCGGCCGCCATGGAAGACGCCATTGTGGGGGAAGGCGACGAGGCCGAAGGCGCGGGGCTTGGGGCCAGCTTCGAAGACTGGCCGGACGACGACGAGGTCGAAGTCGCCCCACACCGCCAGCCGGCGCCTGATCATCAAGGCGCGGGCTCGTCTACCGTGCCGGCTGCCCGTGATGGCGCGCAGAAGCGCCGGGCCACGTCGACCTTCTTCGGCAGCCGGCCGAAGAAATCCAAGGCTTCCACGGCGGCGACCAAGCGGGATGAGGCGGCCGCGAAGGCGGCCCGCTTCCGCAAGGCGGTGAAACTGAAGGAAATATGCCCTAGAGGCAATAATAAAGTTATTATTTATTTCCTTATATCATGATAAATGTTTATTATTCATGCTAGAATTGTATTAACCGGAAACATAATACATGTGTGAATACATAGACAAACTTAGTGTCACTAGTATGCCTCTACTTGACTAGCTCGTTAATCAAAGATGGTTATGTTTCCTAACCATGAACAAAGTGTTGTTATTTGATTAACAAGGTCACATCATTAGTTGAATGATCTGATTGACATGACCCATTCCATTAGCTTAGCACCCGATCGTTTAGTATGTTGCTATTGCTTTCTTCATGACTTATACATGTTCCTATGACTATGAGATTATGCAACTCCCGTTTACCGGAGGAACACTTTGTGTGCTACCAAACGTCACAACATAACTGGGTGATTATAAAGGAGCTCTACAGGTGTCTCCAATGGTAGATGTTGGGTTGGCGTATTTCGCAGAATAGGATTTGTCACTCCGATAGTCGGAGAGGTATCTCTGGGCCCTCTCGGTAATGCACATCACATAAGCCTTGCAAGCATTGCAACTAATGAGTTAGTTGCGGGATGATGTATTACGGGACGAGTAAAGAGACTTGCCGGTAACGAGATTGAACTAGGTATTGGATATCGACGATCGAATCTCGGGCAAGTAACATACCGATGACAAAGGGAACAACGTATGTTGTTATGCGGTCTGACCGATAAAGATCTTCATAGAATATGTAGGAGCCAATATGGGCATCCAGGTCCCGCTATTGGTTATTGACCGGAGATGTGTCTCAGTCATGTCTGCATTGTTCTTGAACCGTAGGGTCCGCATGCTTAATGTTACGATGACAGTTATTACAAGTTTATGCATTTTGATGTACCGAAGTTAGTTTGGAGTCTCGGATGTGATCACAGACATGACGAGGAGTCTCGAAATGGTCGAGACATAAAGATTGATATATTGGAAGCCTATGTTTGGATATCGGAAGTGTTCCGGGTGAAATCGGGATTTTACCGGAGTACCAGGAGGTTACCGGAACCCCCCGGGAGCTATATGGGCCTTAGTGGGCTTTAGTGGAAAGGAGAAAGGGGCAGCCCAAGGTGGGTCGCGCGCCTCCCCCCTCCCCTAGTCCTATTAGGACAAGGAGAGGTGGCCGGCCCCCTCTCTCTCTTTCCCCCCTCAAGGA